TGATCCATAGCAGAAAATCTAATTTCCCTTGCTCTTCCATCATCTCACTAGGGACTTCAGCTCCTTTTCCATTAGCACGATCCTTTCCAAAAATATTAGCAAGTCTATCAAATAATGGGAATGATTTTTTCCTCCATTCAGCTGCATTCTAGTGGTGCTACAATAAAATAAGACACCACTTAGTTTATGTTTAACTATTAAGATCACATCTTTCTATAAGCCGTTGATTTCTCCTCATTTTGAACATCATAAGCACAAGAATTGTACACCACACATTGTCTCTAAATGCCACATCTCCATCAGTAATATCAACAAAAGCATTCTTCAATCCATATCAAATAAATCATAAAAACCAACAAAAATTAAGCATGTATATTTTTACAAACCAACAAAGTATATGTTTAGATAATATATGTACAAACCAACAAAGTTTTTGCATTGATTATAGTACATGTTTCTTTTTTTTTTCTTTTTTTCAACTAAAACAATTACACTTTCCACTTGAAAAGTGTCAATCACCATGAAAAAGAAAAACCAGCATCTAACAAACAATTATGCCTAGCCACCCACATAGAGAAATTATAGAACATCCATGAGCAATTGACCATATGACCTCTACCCTTTTATTCTTCTCATTCCAAACAAAAACCCCATAATCAAAACAATTCAAAATTGAAAACCCTAGAAAAATACCCAATTATAATCCAATGAAAATTAACCAATACAAATGTTATTTCTCATCAAATTAAGCTAACTACAAAAAACCACATAATCAAAACTTAAAAATCAAACTAAGAAATAGCAAATTGAACCCATCAAATATCACCAAGGAGAGAGACAAACAGAGAAGAAGAGTGGAAATAGAAGAAGAAAGTTGAACAACTAACATGAGTGAGTGAGAGTAGAGCACAACAGAAGATGAAAACAAAGCAACGTGGAAGAGGAGAGCCAAAGCAACGTTGAAGAGAAGAGGAGAGCAGAGCAACGTTGGATAAAGGCAGACTCAATAGCGTCTTTGTTATTTAGCGGCACCTCTTCAAAGTTCTCTATTTTGTGCCAACGAGTGAAGTGTTTTTTGTAGGCCAGGACTATATAGTCTCATTTAACTTAAAGATGAGCTACACCAAACATGGGCTTGGGGTGTTATTTAAGTTAATCCAATCCAAGTCAATCCAAGGAGGTGTACCAAACAGGGCCTTAGTATCTATAATATTGGATAAGGCTTTTCTGAGTAAGCTATTTCATTGTAACCGTAAACACCTATATGAGATTATGAGTAACATTTTGTACATGCATCCAGTGATTGATTTAGGAATTTTCTTACTTTAGGGCAAGAAAACACTACTACAAAGCCACTAATAATGAAGATCAGTCGACTCTAAATATAAGGAAAAAAACACAATCATATAAACATATTTATACACAAATTAGTAACACAACACATTCTACCTAATTCATCTATTGACCACACAAACAAAAAAATGAGAAGAGTGAGTCCAGAGAACAAGAAGAATAACTTAAGTAGAATAGTTTCTCCCTTTGCCCCTCACTGTAGTCTTCTTTGAGGCAATTTATCAAACAATTTGCCCCCATTAAATACACAATTTCATAAAATAAAAAAATGGCACCTTCATAGATAAATAATATAATTGAGTGAGGGCAAGTGCCTTCATTGGACCTTTAATGGATCTGCAAATGTATGCATCAATAATTCACGGTCATACAGTGATTGAGTGTGCATCCCACAATGCATCTAGTCAATTATAGACGTCAATGACAGAGTCAAGGACCGAACTAGGATTTTAAGAGGAAGGGGGCCAAAACGTAAAATGCTAAGTTTAATTGTATACTTTTTTTTTGGCCTATTGGGTCAACTAGGCTTGCCCCTGGTCCGGTACGATATCAATCACTTCCCGATAACAAAATTTGCAAACAATACGGTATGGTACGGGGTTGGCGTTTGCAGTGTTTGATATCAAACCATACCGGAGAGCTCTGGTAGGTTCCAAAATGAAACTGTACCATTTCGGTACCATTGTTGCTAGTTGCAAACAGCAGCAAAATTTACATCCATTCATAAACGCCAATCAGCATTTCAATCAAATACCTGCTAATTCATCAATTCAGCAACATTCAAGCATTATAAACATTCAACACATAAAAACTTATGCAATTCAATGCCTTATGACTTACAAACACACATAAATTTTGACAGAACAGAAACTACATAAATGATGCAATTCGATTCCAAATGCTTAAATGACAACATAAACTTATGCAATCCAATCTTCCTTCCCACAGTTTCTCACCAATCAAACACTCAGAATCCATCAAAACGCAAGAGAGAGAGATATATATATATATATATATTTTTTTTTTTCCCTTTAACCATGCGTCCCTGAGACAAGAAGGGTTTGGTTTGGGGATTGAATTGATAGAATGATCGATTGGGGTTTGGGTTTTGGAATTATTGAATGGGGTGAGAGAGTGAGGTAGAGAGAGATTGAGAGATAATGACTTCTTTTTTTCCTTTAATTAAGGACCCTGTTGATTTGAGGCTGAGAGAGAGTGTAAATAAAAATATAAAAATTAGAATTAAACACTATTCAATAAGGTACAAGATGTAACAATATCAAATATCTGGTACAGCTCCCGTGCCATACAAGGTTGATACAGTTCGCTATCATAGCAAATGCAGCCAAACAACACGAATTCAATACCGTATGACTCGGAACGTGTTCATTTCGGTTCTTCGGCTTCAGATGCCCAGCCCTAGGGTAAACTATTACCAATAATAAGAGTGCTAGATTGGAATTAGTGAGTTTATTTCAGAAATGTATTATTTTACTACTATATTCATATAGAAATGCAATTTCGACAAAATATTGATTAATAATGGTGGGCTATAAGCTTTAATGCAACCATATTACCAAACGTTTGAGCTATACATTAAAGAATAGATAACTATATTCGTTATTTTTATGCCTCAAGTTTATTAGAAATACATGTGTGCAAAATTACGATGTGCCTTGCATAATAATTTTTCCACTTGACATAGTATGATTAGTCAAAAATAATAAAACAATGCTATTCTCATCTCACATAAATTTTTTTGCAAATTTGTAGTCCCATTCTATAACAGGATATGTTGCTTTTCTGGGCATTATCGTTAATTTATTTGGTCGGGTCTGAAAAAGGCCATCGATTGAAATGAAACAATAATAAAACAATGGAGCCTAGGACATTTCTTCTTTTCATGTATGCATCGATTGAAATGAATATGTAGAATTTTATTTGGTCGGGTCTGAAAAAGGCCATCGTGATTCATATATAACATCTTTATATCCAAACATAATTCAAAATTGTGTGACATTGTTTGGTCCAAAAATAAAATTGTGTGACATTGTTAGTGGACCACTCATAATTTATATGCTTGATAACTTTATCATGAAAAGGTTGTCATAGGTTGACGATGAGCAACGAGACACGTGTTCTGATCATGTTGATATTTCATCTTCCTTCTTAATTGGTCTTCATCTTAATAATAACAAGTTTTAAAAATAAAAATAAAAAACCTAATATGTTCTAATCCAGTGAAAAAAAATTTTTGAGTTGCAAACCAGTTGTCTCAAGTTCGAACCAGCTGATATTGGATGCACGTATCTTCGTAGGTGAAATTTTGTTCACTAGTTAACTGCAATTTGTGTTTTGAAACTAATTGTTAAGTTGTAGACTCACAAATACCATGGATGAAAATGGCAATTTAATACTTGGAACACAAATTTCGTTGATTTACAGATAGTATGTTCTTTTGCCATGGTTAGTCTATTGATTAACATCACAGTTTTTATTAGAGCACCTAGCGTCACCTCATCAACGATCACTGAATTACTACCAAGTAAATAACAAATAATTAGTAAATAAACAAAAGTTTATTTCCTAGTTACATTCACATCAAAGAATAACTCATTTCCTAGTTAGCTGGTAAATAAGCGAAAGTAGAGTTGGTAGGGGTGCAAGTTGGATTGGAAAACCTGATTCCGACCAATTCGGTTACGAAAATTTCCGATTTTGTCAAGTTCAAATTAATTTCGACATTTGAAAGTTCCGAAATACGAAAATTTGGATAAAAAAATTGGATTGGAATTGGAATGTATCTAGAGATTCCGAAAGGATAATAACATCTAAGTACTAGCATATAATAGTTTCCAAGCTTATAGTATGAGTTTTCAATTTTGAGTCAATTTTAATCCTTCAAATGGTTGGGCATGTTTAGAATTTTGAACTAGTTTCCGAAATTTTCCAAGAAAAACCTGAAATATGTTAATTATGAGTTTTCTGATTTGAAACGGATAATGAAATTCTGAATTTTGTTAGGAACGGAATTGGAATTAGAATCCCCTAATTCCGATCCATCCGAAAATCAACCCTAGATGGCAGTTGTTGCATATGATGTTTAAAAGTTATCTTCTCTCTAGTTATGCTATGGCCTAGAGGCGGACGTCATCCTTGTGATTTGACAAGATCCATGTTTATGTCCGTTAATTGGGGATTTATGTGGAATAAAGGTGTTGTTAACTTAATGTTTACTCCTAAGTTCATAACCTTGTGTAAACATTTCCAAGTGAAATGTAAAGGGAAAGAAGAACAAACTGATATTAATGGTAATTGTGTGACAAATTAGAACTTAGCAGCTCTTGAACGTAACTAATAAACTTTGCCTTCTGCTAAAAGTTTATAGATTAAATGCAATTATCAAGTGAAATATTTATTTAAATTAATTATGAATCTAATGTGCTTAAGAACAATATCAGTTGAAGTGGGCTTGTGCCGAACGCATTAGCCAGTCTTCCCGCGTCTTGGCTGCTGTTGATGGGCAAGTGGCATCAAGTGCTCACTTTATTTGAAAACTGGCCTGGCTGCCACTGAGATAATTGGAGTGGTTTAAGCCATTTTTGTAGGTTGAAGTAACGTAGGCCGCTTCACTTGCTGCACTGCTTTTCAAGCTTCGTTGACAAACCTGAATTAATTATCGCATCCAAATATAAAATTATAATAGTTTCTTCCCATCACCATTCTCATTTCTCTCAATCTCTGAACTGAGAATTGTTTCTTTATTGATACCAAGGAGAAGGAGCTATAGTTTTATTCAACTTGGAGATGATGATGTCCACTTCTGTAAGTCCCTTTTGCCATCTCTCTCTCTTAAAAACTGTTAAATTTTTTATTTTAAAAGTTCTTTGGATTGATCAACTAGCATTTGGGTTTTCAGTTGGTTTTCTGTGGATTTCTCTGTCCAATCTTATAGTAGAGGATGATGAAGACTTACCCTTTTAAACTTTTTGGTTCACATGCTTGCTCTCCTCTTCCCACTTGCATTCAGATTTATCACAAGGACCCAACAAGGAGGTGGTTCTTTAGCTGCTGTTTCCTTTCTACTATTGCTATGCTTTCTGCAGTTTTCTTCTTTGGGAGCCAGTGTGTTCTCTCTGATTATAAAGAGGTACTCTCCACTCTGATTGCATTGTGTGTATGAAATGATTAGATGGTTTTGCAAATTTGGTACTAATAAGGCATTAAAATTTATCCAACAGAAGTTTTTAGCATGGGGATTGGTTGATGCTATGCAATATACAATATCCAAGAACTGTGAGGTTTGTACCTACCGATCACGATTTCTCTTCAAATTTTGTATAATGGTTGCCATTTGTAATTTGTTGTTGTGATTGATGCTGTCATGCATATTTAGACTCACTGCAGGCCTGATGGAACTGAGGCACTACCTAAAGGGATTGTTTCCAAGACCTCTGACTTGCTAATGCAACCATTATGGGGACCCCGAAATAAAAAGGTACCGCGCCGATGTTTCTATGTTGATTTTAGTGGTAATATAGATTTTGATTAGGCAGCTTGAACAATTTGATAATTAGTTTTGATTTTAATCTCATCCGGCTGCACTCAATAGGGCTGTAAGTAATCTGATTTGAATGTTAATATATGCTCTGCACTCTTTTTGTTTAGAACTCAAAGTCATCTACAAACTTATTGGCCATTGCAGTTGGAATAAAGCAAAAGGAAAGTGTGAACAAGATTGTAAAGAAGGTAAAGGAGGCCAATTGTTTGTCATACCCTGGTTTTGTTCTGCCTGTCTTTGAATTCATTGGATTTAATTTCTCCCTTCACTTCGCTCTTGCAGTTCCTCTCAAGTGATTTTGTTGTGATGCTTTTTCATTATGATGGTCGCGTAAATGAGTGGAGGGATTTGGAATGGAGTGGTCGTGCCATACATGTGTCTGCTATGAATCAAACCAAGTGGTAATGGTTCTTAGCCATAACTCTAACTGAGTTTTGCACTTGCTCAGATTTTCCTAGTCAGTTCTAGTAACCTGGTTCCTTTTTTACTTAGGTGGTATGCAAAGCGTTTCCTACATCCTGATATTGTTTCTGAATATGCATTCCTCTTCCTCTGGGATGAGGACCTTGGAATTGAAAATTTCAATGTTGGAAGGTATGTGAGCTCATACATGTTTGAATGTTTCTTGCATTCATGTTGTGAAGAAAGAAGAAACCATCTGGTGCTAAATATTTATTCAGTAGACATTTTTGTTGATATTCAGAGATTCGATTTCTTCGATGCAGATACTTATCAATTATTAGAAAAGAGGGACTTGAGATATCACAGCCAGCACTTGATCCTGAGAACTCAGAGGTCCATCATGATCTTACAGCAAGAGACAACAGAACAGAAGTACACAGGTTTGATTTTCTGCATGCCCTAGTGATGCTTATGTACACATTGTTTTAGTCACAGTAGATTCTTCACTATTTTCTTCCATTTCAATTGAAGCAAGTGTATCTATCTTTTGTGTTCTGACTTGCTACTTTTATTGTGGTCGGTGATGCATTAATAGGAAGATAAACAAGTTAATTGGTGGTGGAAGGAGGTGTGATCAAAACAGCACGGATCCGCCATGCACAGGGTACTAAATTTGCATACACAAACACACACATAGACGTGTATATGTTACTCACACGTTTATCAATTCATGAATGTGTGTGTGCGTATGTGTGTGTCTTTTGTATGTCGCTCGGTATATCCTACATGTCAATAAGCTTAAAGTTCTGCAATGATCCAAAGAATACATATGAATCTGGGGATAGATTGAAATGAGAGTTAATACATATGGCAGGTTTGTAGAAATGATGGCTCCTGTTTTTTCAAGAGCATCCTGGCGCTGTGTGTGGCATATGATTCAGGTATGACACTGAGGCTTGATGTAAATTTAACCTCAATAATCTGATTTTGGTTAATGCATAAGATTTTTATGTTACTTTAGTAAGATTTCAGTTGGGGATCCTCAAAATTTTAGCATTTAATTTTCTCCTTTCTTAATTTTATTTCCCTGATAAACAGAATGACTTAGTTCATGCATGGGGCTTGGATTTCCAGCTTGGTTATTGTGCGCAGGCAATTTCACCATCCTTTATATACGTTTTTCTTTCTTTTTCACGTTTTCTCTTCCACATATTTCTTATGTCTGAATCAATACTTGACAGGGTGATCGAACGAAAAATATCGGAATCGTTGATTCTGAGTACATTGTTCATTATGGTCTTCCTACACTGGGGGGTTTGGCACCAAACAAGGTTAGAAACTTAATACAAATAACTCTGTGTTTGTGTGTATTAACTTAAGTATTTGTATAATCTATTTATCACTCACTATTAATAATGATGATAATCACCAATGCAGACAAATGCAGAAGCACCTGATCAAGCTGCTAAAACTATAAGCTTGCCTAGTTCAGAACAACCGGTATCTAATCAAAACATTCAAAATTAATGTGCTATTTTAACTTGTCTAAATTATGGTTAATAACTTTGAATTTGCAGGCATCGACATCGTCATCTCCATCGGACCCTAGAACTGAGGTAAGAATTGTAATGATTTTTTCATGCACCAATTATATATTATCCTAGCTTCGCATTCTTTGATTCATTGATCTTGCCTCTATATTGTTCAGGTAAGGAAGCTATCCTTTGTTGAACTGGAAATTTTCAAGAACAGATGGAAAAAGGCAGTTAGAGAAGATAATTGCTGGGATCCATACCAAAAGACACCACAACAGAGTAAAAACTAGTGCTTCTTAGCAGCCCCTGGAATTTTTACCCCAAAGAGATTGATTTCTGACCAATTACAGCATTCACAATACCTTTTAATGTGTACTTTTTTTTTTCCTTTTCCTAACAGCCTAATAATGTATGCTACTACAGTCATATAAACTTGTAAATGAGAATTATTCTTTTCTTTTTACAAATTAAAGTTTATACACAATTCAATTCTGGATAGCAAGAAATGAGAACAGAATTTACCGTCTTTCTTGTCGTATTGTACATTCACATATTTTTATGAATAAATTAGTTCTCTCAATTTGGCTGAGTCAAGAAAAATAAAAATAAAAATATGCTATCACAGAAGTATCACAAATTTAAGCGGGTTCTTCTTATAACCCCCTTAATGACTTCTCCAAGTTCTTCGCCACGATCTTCCTGCACATGATGGCCTGCCTGAAAACCCCAATAAACAAATTGCATGAGTTCTGAAAACTAACAACCTCAAACAATTGAACAATATCAATACAGCAACACTAATTATTTTCTACTTTATCTTTATGTTAAGCACAGTATAGCACAAAAATAGCAATGTGCATGTGTTTATGTCTGTGTAAAGCTAAAACTTCTCCTGCATATGTTCATAAGCTGTTACCATAGGAATTTCAATAAGCTTATGCTTCGAATCCTTGCAAAATTCTTCGACTCCATCGTAACTCAACCAGCGGTCTCTTTTACCCCAACATACTGTAGTTGGAATTTTCCAATTTTCATCTGATAGTGTAGTCCTCATTTCTTCCACATATTTCTGCCAAACTCAGCACAAGAAACAGCATTAGCAGCTTAATCACCTATTTTCATGGAAAACTGATTCTGCTTTCGTCGAATATAAGAATCCCTTTTCCATTGGAGCTACCATGTAACCAGAAAAGCCATTCTATACCAAACAAAAGATGATGTATGTTTAAATCAAATATGATAAGAAGAAGGTTCACCTTCAAATCTTTCTTCATGGCCCTGCTAATTGCATTTAATGCAAACCCAGATGCCCCAGATGTGAGGTAAGGATTTCTATAAACCATTGCATCATCCTCTTTCATTTTATAAGGTCCGCAACTCGTCAAGGCTTTATCACTAGCCCTTAGAGGATCCTAGCACAGAAAGAAGCAAGATCAAGTTGACATGGAATAATTTCTTTCTCGAGCAACAAAGCAGAAAATATCTTAAGACATATATAAAGACAGACAAGCATGCTAATTTGAATGTATAAGCACAGAAATGCACACAAATTAAGTGTACAGACATGTTAGATAAAGTATGAAACTATAAAACAACCTTCCTACCTGAGAAAATATTTCCCCTAACAAAAAGTTGCTGAATATGGACAAGGTTGATGGAAGGTTGGCATGCTTCGCTGTAAGCTTTAATGAAAACACAGGATCAAGATCATATTGATTAGACGTCGTTCTCAATAGCCAAGAAATCAATATGTACATCACTATCATCAGCCCGAATTTGTTCCTAATGCAGTAAGAAAGCATTATGGCATGCATCATATACACAATCAAATAAAAAAGATAAAAAAGATAGAGAATTTCCATGTGGCAGAAGCCTATCTTGATCCTAGTTGCCAATTTCTACTTCATAATCAGGAGAAAAATAATCACCATAACATTTCTTGTATCAGGAAAGTCCTAAGGGCAGTCAATGCAGATATCTATAAAGGTCATTGCCATTTCAAGGGAACCTTGAGAAACATTAGTATTTTTCTTGAGATATAAGGAAGTGAGTGCTAAAATATGAAAACCTCACAAAAATTCTGCAATTTGACCACCTATGTAGGTACTTGCTTAATTAATCTTCTGGTAGACCCAGTATTGAAACGATAAAGTATAGGTAGAAAATGCAAAAACAACGAAAATGAATGGCAGATTTCTGGAGAATCCATACAGGAGGGTTTAAGAGTATTATGTTGTCAATCTTTTCCTGATGGCTGCTAGCATATTTAACAGCAACTGGAGCAAAGTATCCCTGAGAAGCACATCGAAGATCAGAAGTTCTTTCCAGTTGCATGTTATGCAATAACTAATGTAGCCTGCTACATGTTTATACATTCAGTGGGAAATCAAATACCTGGACAACGAGTGTGACCTTGTTAACAGCAACTTCCTTAATAAATGACTCCAAGGATGATACAAACTCTGCAATCCATAACAAAACTCCACATAAACAAGAGTTTCGTTACTTTGGATATGAAATTAGTACTGAAGGGAACCAAAAGAAATTACCATTCAGAGTGTAGTCAAAACCATATTTGGGTTGAGGCTTATCTGAAAATCCAAAGCCTGTAGTTGAAGGGAAGGACACAGGAATGTTCCGGCTTAGCATACAGTCGGAATCATAACGAGATGCAATGTAACATGAACTTCTGAAGCTATTGAACTGCTTTGCAAGCAAAGCCAAACTAAAATTGCACAAGAAGTTTTATTCTTGCTATGTATATTTATATATATGTAAATCCATATTCAGAGCACATATTCCAAAATCATTTTCCCATAATTTACCTAAAATCAACTGAAGAAGAAGAAATCACTGATGTTCAACCGCTAAAAAAGGAGTAAAATAGAGAATTTCAATTACAACTCAGGGTAAGCTAAAGCTATGATCTTACCCAGCCAATCAAAAGCAATTGCGTGATAGTCTTTAGAAAGCATGGGAAGAACTTTGCGGTAAGAGTATGCCTGATGATTTGAACACATTTATGAATAAGGAACCAAGTCTAATTACAATAGTTAATCAAATTATATCTTGCAATCCACATCAATATTATTGTTATGAAGTTTACAAATTGGAAACTATATGCTATTAGATCCAATTGCACATCCAACATCTACAAAGTTAGCATTAATGTTAAAGAAACAGAACAGTATGAAGACATTTATATATCTATAGATGGGAACTTGAAAATGGATTTCACAAGTAAAAACATACATTTGAAATGCATCATACAGATACAACAAAAATATTGCAGAAGCCGTCCTACATTGACAAATTAAGACTCACTCACCTGAGAAGGGAAACCATGAATTAATATAACTGAAGGGTTATCAGCACTTCCGGATTCAACGCAAAACCATCTATTGAACAAAATCATGTATATAGATAAACCCTGCAAATAATTCAATCTCATGGTCTGCATGCCACGGAAACATATAAATAAAGACTAAATTATCATGTTTCGAACATGTCAGCTGGTACTAGTCTCCTAAAGCTAATTTACAAATTACCTGAAAATATCAGTGGAGGCCTGAGAATCAGCACCCATTGCAAGTCCAAAAATGGGGTCTTTTGCCTTCTCACCGGAACCAAAAGCAGCATAAGCTTTCACCTAGAAGAAGAAAAATACATGATCAAACAAAAAAATGGGATCCTAATAAGATACACTGCAAAACTATGCAATACAACAAACATATGATGGGATTTCCCCCAAAACATACTAGAAGGTTGAACTAAATAGGGTTTTTCATTTGCTTTTAAATGGTTAATTTAGGAGGACTCACTATCTTCCCTTGCTTAAACCATTCATCAGAAGGACTTGGCCCATCCGAATACTTTCCTGTCAAAAACACCCACATTTTCAATTAGCTTCCAAAATTTCCACCGTTAAAAAAGCTAGAGAAGAAGAGTAATATTTGGATTTGGGAAGAGAACTAATAAGTAGTAAGCACCTCCACTGAAACTAAAGCCATCACCCACTTCAACAGGAGCATCTATGTAATAATCCTGGCACAAAAAAACAACATAGTAAGGCATCAATAAAAAGTACACAAATTAACAATGGTACAATTTTTTGTGTCATCGGATTAAATCAAACAAAGAACCATACATCGTTGCCGTTGGATCTGCAACTAAATTTGGGAGCCTTCTTGTGAGCCTTGCCATTGCCAACAAGTGAGAGTGATGCAGGAACAGGATTGTGAAGAAAGCATTGAAGTTTATGAGAATAACAAAGAGAAGGGCTTTTGGCTTGGGTTGCCATGTTTGGTGCTTAGTCCTTCTGTAAACTGTAATAACGGTAGCAAGGCGGGAGAGAATGGCTGTTTTAACTGCTGGTTGCATACAATGATGGCCCAGGGGGATAGAGATTTTCTGGTCCTCATCTGCTGTGTAACACCATACACACATATTTTTCAAGTCTACAGTATAAATTAAGTTTTGGTTGATTATTTTCTGTCACAAAATAAAACAACCAACATACTAATTGTCAATGTTTAGGAGCTAAAGAACTTAACTTTAAACTTCTGTTATAAATGGGCCAAACTCTCCCCATTTCCCCCAAGTGCATCCGGGTTCAATTCACATAAAAAACAATCTTGAGACAACTTAATATAATACTCCCTTCTTCCCCTTCCTAACAAATAACAAAAAAACAACAGAACAATGTTCAATTCTGTGGGGTAAACTTTGGAATCTTTTCTAGGATTTGAAGCTATAAAGAATAAAATTTGGAATCTTTTTTAAGATTTAAAGCTTAAAAAACGAAAGCAAATCTTGGGCCGTGATAAAAACTCTAGCCCAGTTACAAACCCAAACCCATCCGACCGCCAAGAACAAACTACTCAAACGGGTAGCCTCCACAAGCCGTGGGCGGAGTCAGAGATGGCACTTCAGCTTCTCAAGTTCCCAAATCACATGATCATCTCCCGCCGTTTCTGCAGAACTTCAAGCTTCTTCCTTTTATCCCAGTCCAACTCACATAATAAACTCACTGGTACTCCTCTCTTCCTCTCCAACGGAGTTATTTTTATTACATGATTCTCGAAAGCACCTTCTATTTTCTTCATTTTCATTGGGTAATTTTCACAAGCACCTAACGTTCTGTCATTTGGCGCTGTCTCATTGTGCTTTCATGGAAACTGAATAAATAAATTTGGCTTTTTTTCCTCGTTGAATCTCTATTATTTTGCTCCAACAGTTGAAATCTCTAATTTTCTAGACTTGGTTTTGTTTTCAGCAAGATGGGTTGGAGTGCCAATACATAGAAGCTTTGCTGCTGAGGTTCAACCAGCAAAGAAGTAAGCTTTTTTGTCAAACCCAATATGTATAATTTAACCCATTTGCAATTAGTGTTGAGTTCCAGCAAACCCATTTAGATTAATATATTCACTATTATGTTTGGAAAATGACAATTTCAGGAAGAGGAGGCTAGATGAGGTATGCCTGGAAAGGTATCAGCAATATAGCCGAACCTTCATACAATCATGGATCATACAAGGTGAGCTGTACAGTTAATTACAAAACCCCACTCATTAAAACAAGGCGGGGAAAGTTCTAAGTTGGTTTGCATTCAACTTCAGCTGCGTAGTTCAGGATTATTATGACATAATCATGTATGTTCGTAAAAATTTGTGATCATCTTGTATATGTGCTGTTATATAATATAACATTGTAGGGAGTTAACTTTAGA